ATTTTCTAAAAGGGCTATTTCCACCTGGTTGCTTTGATGCTGTAATCAGCATAATATCCTTTAAACACACAATAAAAGTTCAGTGGCAAAACCACTGACAAGAAATTTCCTATACTACTCCTACCAACCTACTTAGCACTAAAGAAAGAAATCAGTTCATCCTTCCCTATGCACAAAGTGTTTACCTTCTAAAAGTTTTTCTATCTCATACAGTTCCTGGGATAATTTCTCAAATGTGTCTCCTTTGAAATTCTAAATTCTGAAAACTCCTGGTATCAGGTCCTCATTATTAATAACTATAAGAATGAAAAATAAAGCTGTTCTAAAACTAAGCAAGCTTAGTTCTAAAACTAAGCTAGTTCCATTATACATGAAGGTGTGTTATCATCTTCAACTATAGTTGTTGATCTTGCCTTTTTAGATCCATAGTTTTCAATCATATACTTTTAATTTCTATTAGTAGGTGCGTATTCATTTATAATTATTAAATTTTCATGATGTGTGTCCCCTTTTTTTTATTAGTTGCTGATGGACCTTTATTTATTTATATGTGGTGCTGAGAATCTAACCTAGTGCCTCATACATGCTAGGCAAGCACTCTACTATTGAACCACAACCCCAACTCTGTGTGGTCTCTTTTATTATTACCAAATGTCTCTTAATATTTGACTCATTCTTTTTTGTATTCCTTAAGACTTATAGTTATAAAAACCTTTTATGCTTAATCTTAGTGTATGTTATTTTCAGTTAAGTTTTAACTTTAAAAACAATTAATATTTTATCTAAAAATGTTAAACAGATATTAATATTTAAATACAAATATTTTATTAATATGACACTAATAATCATTAATATCAATAAATATTTGTTATATATTTAAAAAAAGAAGTTTAAATAGGAGTAAGTATTAGAACCAGGGTTCAAAGATGAAAATAGGTAGTAACTTATTTCCCAGGGTAGGACCACTTTTGTAGTTTTTTTTTTTTTTTTTTTAATTTTTTAATATTTATTTTTTAGTTTTTCGGTGGACATATCTTTGTTTGTATGTAGTGCTGAGGATCGAACCTGGGCCGCACACATGCCAGGCGAGCGCGCTACTGTTTGAGCCACATCCCCAGCCCCTTGTATTTTCTTGAAAAGTCATTATGAAATGGGAAATTATTTCAGAACAAAGAAGAAAACTCCAAAATAGTATTGATGATGCTAGGATCCCGAAAAGTCTGCCTTTGAAGAAGCTCTTAAAACTAACAAGGGGGACAGAGTAATGCCTAAAGTCTCCTGCTGTTTTTAAAAGAAAAATTCAAATGTAAACTCTAATAAAAATGTGAGGGGATGGGGTTGTGGCTCAGTGGTAATGTGCTTGCCTAGCATGCATGAGGCACTGGGTTCAATTCTCAGCACCACATACAAATAAAATAAAGGTCCATCAACAACTAAAAAATATTTTTTAAAAAAATGTGGAGGCACTCTGTCAGTAATTGGGCCCAGAGAAGAGAGGAGCAAACAGCCACACTGTGAAGTTTTGGCCTCTACTCAAAACACCAAGGATTTCCTGAGAAATGGAATTACATTTTGATCAGAAAAATCAAATCAATGTTTAGGTACACAGAAGCATAGAATTCTTTAAGTCCAGCATACTTTATTTCTTCTGTTCAATACAGTCTTTGACATAATTTGTGTGTTCAATTTAGTTACATAACTTTATGTCATAAAATCAAGATTTACCTTTTACATGGAAAATAGACAGTGTGAAGATGACCAAGACATTGTGAACCATTTCTGAAAAGCAGCATTTAAGAACATCTTGGTTTTGCTAAATGTCACACTGTCTACAGTACTGTTTGCTAAGGAACCAGCTCATATTCTCTCCCTGGACTTCATCATTACTTATTTAGCTTTCAGGTTCCAGAATGAAACACTTGTAAAGTATCAGAAGCATCTAGTGAGGTAGTGAAAATTCAAAGTGGGAAAAGGGAATAAATTTCCTCTTCCCTTTCAGAACTTCTTCAGCTCTATGTAGTAAAACCAAATCAAAATAGTAAAATAGTTTAAAAAAAAAAGTTTCCCTCTAATCTAAAATAATTTTGTGATTAGAAGTGAAGCCTTTACATAACAATGAAGAATGAACCACAACAAATCATCAAATCCCGCTAAACACCCTCCAGAATAGTTGATATTATAAAGACCAAGTTGGCAAGGAAGAAACCAATGGGTACTTTGATATGTTATTGGTGGGAACATAAAATGGCACAACCACGTGGAAGGGAGCTTGAAGAGTTTTTTTTTTTTTGTACCAGGGATAGAACCCAGGGGCACTTAACCACTGAGTCACATTCCTAGCCCTTTTTTTATTAGGTTGTTGCTGCTGGCTTTAAACTTGGGTCCTTCTGTCTCAGCCACCTGGCTGCAGTTTCTTATAAAAACCAAACATATGTTTACTCTTGGACTTCATGATTTCACTCCTATGAATTTATTCAAATGAAATGAATATGTATGCCCACGAAAAGACTTGTAAAAATACATTCATGATAGCTGGGTGTAGTGGCTTATGTCTGTAATCCCAGTTACTCAGGAGGCTAAGGCAGGAGGATTATAAGTTTGAGGCTATCCCTAGCAATTTAGCAACATCTTGTCTCAAAATTTTTTTAAACAGGTGAGGGTTGGAGGCTGGGGATGAAACTCAGTGGTAGAGTGCTTGCCTAGCATGCATGAGGCCCTGGGTTCAATCACAATTACCACCACACACACACACACAAAAGTATGTGTTTATAATAGCTATCTTCAAACTGAAAACAGCTCAAGTGACCATCAATACAAAAGAAAAATAAATAAATTCACACTTCCTTTGACAGAGCTGGATAAAATTAAGGATGAAAAAGCTACAAATGATTTTATAGACATTATCTTATTTATACTTATTCATTTTTCCAGTTTCAAATAGGTAAATTATAATTACATATAATGGTGGGATTCTTTGTTATATAGTCACACATGAACACAATATAATAATATAATTTGGCCAATATAATTCCCTCTTTCTGGTCCTTTTCCTCTACTCTTCTGATATCCCTCTAATTTTCATGAGATGCCCCCAACCATTCTTCCCCTTTTCCTCTTTAGCTTCCACATATGAGAGAAAACATGACCTTTGAATTTCTGAATTTGGCTATTTCACTTAACACTTTTTTTTTTCTTTTTGGTGGTGCTGGGGATTGAACCCAGGGTCTTGTGCATGTGAGGCAAGCACTCTACCAAATGAGCTATATTCCCAGCTATTTCACTTAACATAATGTTCTCAAGTTCTATCCATTTTCCTACAAATTACACAATTTTGTACATCTTTTTTTTTTTTAAGAGTGAGAGAGGAGAGAGAGGGAGAATTTTTAATATTTATTTTTTAGTTCTCGGCGGACACAACATCTTTTGTTGGTATGTGGTGCTGAGGATCGAACCCGGGCCGCACGCATGCCAGGCAAGCGCGCTACCGCTTGAGCCACATCCCCAGCCCACAATTTTGTACATCTTTATGACTGAATAAACTCCACTGTGTGTATATATCACATTTTCTTTATCCATTCATCCACTGATGGACACCTAGGCTGGTGTTTGGCTACTTTGAATTGTGCTGCTATAAACATGGGCATGCATCTATCACTATAATAGGCTAACTTTAATTCTTCAGAATAAATATCGAGGAGTGGTATAGCTAGTCATATGGTGATTCCATTCCTAGTTTTTTGAGGAATTTCTATGCTGATTTCCATAGTAGTTATACTAATTTACAATTTCACTAACAAGTGTTTTTTTTCTCAACATCATCTCCAGCTTTATTGTTTTCTTTCTTGATGAATGCCATTCTAATTGGAATGAGATTAAAAAAATCTCAGTGAAGTTTTTATTTCCGTTTTCCTGTTGCTGAAGATATTAAACATTTTTTCATATATTTGTTGGCCATTTGTATCTCTTCTTTTGAGAAGTAACCATTCATTAATTGAGTTATTGCCCATTCATTAATTGGGTTTTTTTTTTCTTTACTGTTAAGTTTCTGAGTTCTTTATGTAATTTTGGATATTAATCCTCTGTCAAAAGAGTAGCTAGCAAAGGTTTTCTCCCATCTGTAGGTTCTCGCTTCATATTTTTAATTGTTTCCTTTGCATGCAGAAGCTTTTTAATTTGATACCATTCCATTTATTAATTCTTGATATTATTTCCTAAGTTTTCAGGGTCCTGTTGAGAAATCAATGCCTGTGCCTATGTGTTAAGTGTTGACCCTACATTTTCTTTTATGAGTTGCATATTTTCTGGTCTAATTCCTAGGTCTTTGGTCCATTTTTAGGTGACTTTTGTGCAGGGTGAGAAATAAGGATCTAGTTTCATTCTTTTACATATGGATAACCAGTTTTCTCAGAACCATTTGTTAAAAAGGGTCTTACTATGCCAACTTTTCAAACTTTTTTTCATTAAATCCTCCTATAATCTTGATTTTATACAGGAGGAAATCAAGGTATAGACAAAACAAATAGGTTGATCAAAATTACAAAGCCCACATTCCTCATTCCAATATTTTAACTTTTATAACTGAGGTGCCACTGTCAATAGTTCTACGTACTTTTTCTGCCAAGACATATAGCATAGATATTCACATTCTAGTAGTTATACATAATTCGTGCCAAACTATTTACAATTCTACTGTTTTTCTTTTCTATAAAAAATAAAGTTAAAATATTGTCATATTTGGGCACAGTGGTGCACACTTATAATCCAGGCAACTCAGGAGGCTGAGGCAGGAAGATTGCAAGTTTGAGGACAGTCTCAGCAACTTAGCAAGGCCCTATTTCAAAGTAAAAAGTAAAAAGGGCTGAAGATGTGCCTCAAGTGGTAAAGCATCCATTAGAAAAAAAAAAATTCAATCCAACTCTCTCATTTTGTAAAAGAGGAAACTGAGGTCAAGAGAAGTAAACTTGCCAGGGTAAGAGTGCTAGCTGAGACAGCCAGATATATAATGCAGATCTCTGACTCTACAATATAAGAATTTTTCTTATTTTATTTTATTTTTTAAACTGAATGGTGGCACACACACCTGTAGTACTAGCTATCTTGGGAAGCTAAGGCAAGAGGATCACTTGAATCCATAAATTTGAGGCCTGTCTAAGCAATATATCACTTGAATCCAAGAGTTTGAGGCCAGTCTAAGCAATATAATGAGACTCCCATCTTTTTTTGACTAAGCATTAAACCCAGCAACACTTTACCACTGAGCTAAGTCCCCAGCCCTTTTTATTTTTAGCACGGTTTCACTAATTGCTTAGAACCTCACTAAGTTGCTGATGCTGGCATTAAACTTGTGATCCTCCTGCCTCAGCCTCCTCAGTTGCTGGAATTACAGGCATGTGCCATGTGCCTGGCTCAAAAAAATACCCGTTTTTTTCAATTATAAACTACTGTATTTTTTTTAAGTTCATAGTTTTGTTGTTGTTGTTGTTGTTGTTTTTAAAGCAATAAGCTTATAGAAAAGTATAAAATGAATAGAAGTCCCAATTTTCCTTCTACCCTCTATTCCCATTTCATTGCCTAGGGGTAAGCACCATTATCAATTTCTTGTGTGTCTTTTCAAAAAATGAATCTCTCATATTGAAGCTTTCCTTTGTATAATTTAGTTAATAGAGTCATGTATGTATTTTAGCAAATCCTTAAGTTGGCAAACCTGAAAGTACCATGTTGATGTTCTTGTTAGGTACAGCTCACCTGTTTTCCAGATCCGGCATGCTTAGGTTTCTAGCAGCAAAGCACATTTTGAGAGGGATGACCTTCCTGTCCTTGGTGCTGTTCTGGTGTTTCGGAGAACCAGAGTCCTCACTGCCACTAAAGCTTGGTGACTGGGGAGCTGCACCCTCCCATGGCAGATCTGATACTAAGGATGGCTTCTTGATATATGGTGTTACTTCTCGGATGAATTTTACTATAAACAAATATCAAAGAAGAATTTTAGTATTTTTATTTCCTATGAAAAATAAGAACCAAATTACACTTTTTTTTCTGCTAAGACATAGTATAGATGTTCACATGTTGATGAGTATAACCAAAGTTATGCATAATTCCTTCCTCACTACTATTCTCACACTGTTTTTCTCTTCTCTAAAAAGAATACTATATGGCAAGTTAGGAATAACCTTGATGATATATCACATATAGGCAATATCTAGAACAAAGTATAAAACAAAGGTCAAGAGCCATGAATCTCCTTGAGATAGATTCAGTGCCTCCTATGACAGTAACGTGTAGCTTTAGACTTAACATTTATAGACTTCTCAATGCTTTCACCCATTGGTTCACTATCTACTGAAGCCCAAATGAGACAAATTTAATCTCTCTTCCACATGAGAATCTTTCAAATATCTGAAAAACAGATTATATCTCTCCCTTCTCTGTACTAATCTAAGTATATCAAGTTCAGTTCAATTCAGTCAACATCATCTACTAAGAGCCAGGAATTAGGTAGTCATCAAGTATCTAAGAAGAAAGGAAGCATGGATTCTGCTTAGAAGGAATGCCCAGTCTACTGGGGAACAACTATGTAAAACTAACAAATCATTGCAGTTCTGAAAAAAATAGACACAAAAATTAAATATAGGGGCTTGGGTTATGGCTTAGCAGTAGAGCACTCGCCTCGCATGTGCAATGCAAGGCCCTGGATTCGATCCTCAGCACTACATATAAATAAATAAATAAAATAAAGGTATTGTGTACAATTACAAAAAAATAAGTATAAATAAAATATATTCAAGATAAACACAAAGCAGACACAACTGATCACCTTGCTTATTCAAAATACCCTATTTCCATGAAAGCAGCCCCAAATTAAAATATGGCTTTTAGTAGATAGGAAACTTTTTTCTTTTTTTGGTACCAGAAACTAAACCCAGAGGGACTTAACCACTGAGCAACATCCTCGGTCCTTTTATTTTTTATTTTTGAGACAGGGTCTCACTTAAATTACTCAGGGCCTTGCTAAATTGCTGAGGATGGTCTTGAACTTGCAAACTTCCAGAGTCACTGGAATTAATGGTGTGCCCCACTGTGCCCCAATAGGAAATTTTTTTTCTTTTTAAGTTCAGTTTTAGGACTCATAAAATACTTCTTTTATTTCAGTCATGACTGTCAATTTTTTAAAACATTTTTTATTTTTTGGAAGTAGTTGGAAACAATACCTTTATTTTATTTATTTATTTTTATGTGGTGCTGAGGATTGAACCCAGGGCCTCGCATGTGCTAGACGAGCACTCTACTGCTGAGCCACAACTCCAGCCCTGACATGTCATTTTTGAGGCACAGTATTCTTTTTTTTTTTTTTTTAGAGAGAGAGAGAATTTTTAATATTTATTTTTTAGTTCTCGGCGGACACAACATCTTTGTTGGTATGTGGTGCTGAGGATCGAACCCGGGCCGCATGCATGCCAGGCGAGCGCGCTACTGCTTGAGCCACATCCCCAGCCCGAGGCACAGTATTCTTGTTTTTAAAAAGTAGATAAACTGAAGATCACTAAAACCTTAAATAGCTTAACAGTTGAGGCTGCTCATGGTGGTGCACGCCTGTAATCCCAGCAGTTCAGGAGGCTGAGGCAGGAGGATCGCAAGTTCAAAGCCAGCCTCAGTAACAGCAAGATGCTATGCAACTCAGTGAGACCCTGTCTCTAAATAAAATACACAACAGGACTGGGTATGTGGCTCAGTGGTTGAGTACCCCTGAGTTCAATCCCTGGTACTGCCCCCCACCCCCCAAAAATAAAATAGTTGAAATTCCAGCTACGTTGTCATGAACTGAAATCGAATTCCATGCTTGTATAAGTTTATAGGAATGAACCCAACTACTGTGTGTAATTATAAAACTCTAATAAAAAAATTCCAACTACTTGGAAGACTGATAGAGTAAGATAACAAAGTCTGAGGCTAGACTTAGCAATATCCATTAGTTTCAGCAACTTAGTGAGACCCTGCCTCAAAATCAAAATAAAAAGGACTAAGGATGTAGCTCAGTGGTAAAGTACCCCTAGGTTCCACCTCCAGTACCAAAGAAATAAAATAATTAATTAAAAAATTTTTTTAGTTGTCTACGGACCTTCATTTTATTTATTTATTTATATGCAGTGCTGAGTATAGAACCCAGTGCCTCACTCATGCTAGGCAAGTGCTCTACCACTCAGCTATAACCACGGCCCTAGTTAATTAAAAAACAAAACAACAAACAGAAAGAAAAAAAAAAAGGCTGGAGGTTTTATGGTAGAATATTCCTGGGTTTAATCCCTAGTACCATAAGAAAAAAAAAATTGAATGTGAATAAATCTATCATCATTACCTCTGTTGATATGATACATGTTATATCATTATTCTACTTCTTTCAAATTCCAATGTGATAGATCATTAGAGTAGCATCATAGTTACTGAAAACCTAAATAGATCATTGTCAATGCTTATCAATATCAAAATACCTAGTATTATTTTGTAGCATTAAAAGTTATAAACCTGTGAAACTTTACTATTAAATAGATTAGTATATATGAAAAATAACTAGATGTTTCTAAAAACCTACCTAACAACTATCCTTAAAAACTGTTTCTCTTTTGAATAGGTAATATAGGTTAAATATCCCTTATCAGAAATGCTTGGGAACAGAAGTGTTTCTGATTTTGGAATATTTCCATATACATAATAAAATATCTTGGGGATGAGACCCAAATCTAAACACAAAATTAATTTAGATTTCATATACATTACATACATAGCTTAAAGTAATTTTATTTACAACAATTTAAATACACCTGCATTTTGATTGTCACATGAAAAGGTGGAATTTTTTACTGTGGTATGATGTCTGAGCTCAAAAAGCTTCAGATTTTGGAATGTTTCGGATTTTGGATCTTTGGATAAAGGAAGATCAAGCTATACATGCTCACAAAACAAAACTCAAAACTTCAGCCCACCTCTGAAGGCAACCACTATGTGGTCTTCCAGAGAGATGCTAGATATGCTAAGCATATGTAAAAATAAGACATACATTTGTGCATCTCTATATGATGTACACATATTTCACACAGTGGCAATATATATGCTCACTGTTTTCCATCTTGCGTTTTATATTTTATGATATTGACAATACTGTTCCCTATTTTTCTTTGTCTTTTATGACCAGTCAACAGCTCTACCACACGTGTGGTGACGGAGACATCTTTGGAATTAGACATGGTTCAAATTCTAACTACACTTGTCTACTTTAAACCTATGTGACCTCATTTGACTGTTCTGAAGTCCCTAAATGAGCAAAATTTCTAGGCACACACTAAATATTCAATAATTAGTAGGTGGCTTTCTTTTTCCTTCCCTGACTTGAGCAGGGGTGCAGCCAGTGTATCCCTTGAGCAGCTGACTTGGGCTTTTCAAGACATAATTTAACCCTGTGATTTCAATAGATTATTTTGTTTATTTATTTATTTTTTTAATGTGGTGCTGAGGATCAAACCCAGGGCCTCCCATGTGCTAGGCAAGCGCTCTACTGCTGAGCCACACAATAGATTATTAGATCACAAGAACTTGGCAGAAATTCCTAAGGTTTCTAATGCTTTTTGAACATTTAAGGCACTATATCAACTATTGGGCTATCAATTGGGAAAAATAAATACATTCTAAATGTCTATTCTAGAGTATTACAGTGATTAGAAAACAACCTTTAGGGGTTGGGGATGTAGCTCAATGTGTGAAGTCCTGGGTTTAATCCCCAGAACACG